GGTATTACGTGCAAAACAACCACATTGATGCTGAGTTATTTGCGATACACCATGCAGGTTCCTCGTTTCGCCTGACTCTCAGCTGCTTCTATCGATCGGTGCTATCAGCAATCACCCGTCAGCGAGACTGATAGGCAATCTCAGAGACAGACGAAACGAAAGACCCACATGGTGTGGTGGTGAACGCGTTAGATCTCGGAGAGGGTAACTGCGCTTTCGTCCCACTTCGCAGACACCTGAGTTTTGCAAATATCTCAGCATCAATGTTGTTGTTTCACACATAATACCCTGCCATAAAAAATTATAATAGTCAGTAGATAAAAAGTTAATACTGTGATTTCAACCACAGCCTCAGCTTAACTAGGTTCTATGCCGATTTGGGCTGTCCAGATCAATCTCGTTGACTGGTGATAGCTGATACAACTGATGGGTAGAACGAGAGAGGCAACCAGAGGAGGTGCATAGTATGGTGATGATTGCATTAGCCTCCTGAAAAAGCATTAGCGCACTCGTTCCCACCGCAGGCACCTGCGGTCCGGGGTTTTGCAAATATCTCATGATTATTGTGGTTGTTTCATAAGTACTATCCTGCCGTGAAAACTTGTAAAGGAAGAGCCTATAATCCTCGTTGGATAAAAATCACCTGGAATTATCTTGTCTGAGGTTCGATTCTGGGTCGAAGGCATGAGAAAAAGCACGCTCCAGATTCTCGTAATATCTTCACCTACATTTCTAGAGATGGAACTAATGAGTTACATCGACTTTTCTCTGCATATATGACATCTTACCTCAAATAGAAAAAAAATCGGTGGATGACACGCGCACGTTCATTCAATGGAAAAAATAGGATCAAAGAAATCTTCTCAATTATTGTTCATTCGCTTATTTGGTGTACTCTACGAGCTCCTCGCGAAGATTATTTTGTCGTGCACATCAAAGAAATTGGGTGAAACAAAGCCATTTGAGAAAGAAAGAATTCGAAAACGACTTTACAACATGGCCCATATTAAAACCCTGTCGAAGCAAACAATGGTTTTTCGAGAGTAAAACCTGTCTGTCGGATCCGGTAGAGACCGAAAGAAAACTGGTTTCCACTCTCTGACGTTCAAATCAACTTATCATGTAGCGGTTACATGACAAAGTGGTACCGAAAACCAAGTATCCTTAAGCTTAGAAGAAAAGAGTTGTCCCAAAACGAACCGTTTGGCCGAAACAAAGTCCCATTTACCTTGCCCTTTATTAGCGATGAAATAAGTGCAGCGATAAAGCGATGCTTAAGAAGGGCAGGTCTAGAGGAATCAGTAGCGACAATTGAAATACCACCGAGTGCTCTTCGTCGTCAATTATTAACTTTTTATTTTCTTCTTATTCGTAGCCGACGATATGACCGTCTATGTGAGACCCCAATTTCTTAATTTGCTCTTACTGCAGGGACGGTGATTGCAAGATTGCAAGAGTTCAGGCACGATATGCCTCCTTATCTCATGTAATAGTTTCGTAGATGAATATATTGGCGAATCGGGCAGACCTTTGTGTATCCGTATAAAAACACACCTATATGGCAAACGAAAAGCAAAACTAAGTATCTCACTAGGGACGCATAGGTTACAAAAGCAAAGCGCAGACGATTTTGATATAAAAGTCACTATCCTTGCACGGGATCCTAGAACACCAACGCGCTAATTTTTTAAAGCTATTTGGAGAAATGCCGAGAACCCTACAATGAATAGCAGGGAGGAATGCCCAGAGGCCACACCCGACCTAGCCCCATATCTTCGAATCAATTTCTGATTTGGGATGGTGAAGTCATCAAAGCGTTTGCGGCTATAATCAGCTGTTCTAATCTTTCTCAGGGAAGTCACGTTAAAAGCGGTGGGTTTTTTCGAAAAGCTGTTGATGATGTAATTGCCGCAGAGTTTTCCTTTTTGTATGTGCTATTGAAGCGTTCGGCCTGGCAAATTGCATATCATTATATTCTTCCAGGCCCTGAAGAAGGCGGAGCCGCCGAAACGCTAGCCAGCTTTGAACAATTATCGTTGTTTGCAACTTAGTATCCATTGACGTATTGAGAACTATAACATAACAGCTCGATATAATGCATCAAAGAAGTACAGCGTTTCAGACTTTCAAAGTCCGAATATTCGAACATTCAGTCACCCTTTAGTGACTGACCGCAGGCGTGCCGAAAATTACACAATTTCTTGTACGAAGCAAACACCGCCGATGGAGCAGTTTCGAAATCCAGCATGTTTCACATCTTGTAACTTCGCTCTGGGTAGCAGCGATAATAGTATTATAACGATTAATGCACAGTGAGAGAATTAAAGGGTGCTATCAAGGTTGAATTATTGGAGACAGCGTGCATTATGTGCACGTCTCTAGTTCTACCCCGTTCCAAGCAAATAGGTGCCTCCATCTTGCGCCGGTGTCAGATTCTTCTTCGAAAAGAACACCATGATCCACAAAGGTCGGTCACCGCATGTGGTGAGGACCTCAGAATACTGTAACATGCGATATTCAAATACATTCGCGATAATAGATGCGAGTTAGTAAACGAAATGAGAGAACTGCCTTAATTCGAGCAATATATGAATAATGGCGATACAAAAGGATAAATAAAAAGACAAAGCTCTCGGCGTAGATCAATCCCGGAGAGATGCGCCATGCATTCGACTTCATTAAGTATCGTCTGGAGGTGAATGAATCCATATCTGGCATTTACAACGACTCGCGGTGGCCCACCGATGTATCGATCCAGTGCTGCTACCCTCCCAGACAAGTCTGGCACCGATTTGCTGACCCCGGAAGGACGGAAGGCTTGGTGAGTCACAGGTGTGAGGGGATCGATTCCATGTGTGTGTTGCTGGGCGGCCTCCGACCACTTCACCACGAGCACCCTTCCGGTGATATAAATGAAGAATAGTAGTATAACGCTAAAACGTAAATTTGATAAACATTTCACTAGCAAACACTGCCAAATCAGAGCTCAAACATGCTTTGCGACTTTTGTTTTGACAACGCTAATCTTTTGTGCACCAGATTTTCAGGAAACGGCTTGGGTTGACGGAGTTCCTCGACAAGAACATCTTTAACCACAGTGTTCCAAACACGTAGTGTGAATAAGACTGGCGAAGTTCATTCCTAATTGTAGAATCTCATAAGTCTCTCATAAATTTTCACCTGCATGCGGTCGAAGCAAAAATTGTCTTAAATGAATTTTCACTGCTACTATCATTTCGTATTGATTACTCATCGCTTTTTCCTTGTTTCTTCTTTGACGTGATCCATAACCAAAGTGCTTCGCATTCGTTTGTCTGCCAATCCTGCTCAGTTAGTTACAGTTTTTTAGTGACGAGGCATCTACAGAGTAGTGGCCAGAGAACAACTGGTCGTACACTGACTGTCGTTGGTTTCATTTCGCAACTCGGATCACACTAATTTCGAACCCTCTAGGGTCAGAAATATTATGCAAATTAACTTTGACAATGAATAAGTTATAACGATATTATTGCATTATGACGTCGCATGAAAGTCGTTGCCTAGGCCACTCCTCGCCTCATGCATTTCAGTTAGTCGCCTTATGGTTATAGTGCTGTTTAAATGTCTCTAGAGACAAACGAAGACAAAATACTTTGCATTGTATGGCCATCCTGTAGTCGTGCAGTGTTGAAAATTGTGTTATTTATTATCTATCCCTTAGGATTGACCTAGTTTTCTTTCAAACAGAATCGCGTGAACCGGGATTGTCCGCAGAATGTTGCTTTGCACATTTATGCTTTGTTTCATTTCCAATGATTGATCATTTTCTAAAAAAGTGAATAACGCGCTTTTTCTGTTCTTTATTATTAAGTGTTTTATGAAATCGAGTACTACGAAAACTTTTCAAATAATTATCAAGATGGAGACATTATTGTTTCCCTTGAGTTTAGTGCTAACTCAGGTGCTCCTAAGAGAAAACAGTAAGAGTTTAAGTTTCGCAACGGTATGACAAATAGCGTTGAAACCACCGCATGCAGAAATGGTACAAGGATGCACCCGGTGTTTCATCGCTCGCAATCGAACACTTCTTCGTCAGACACTTGAAGCTCGTCGGATTCGGTTGTTCAACGATCTTCATTAATATACACAGGCACTTCCACTTGGTAAATGCCCTTCATTCAACCACGTTGTTGATTCTATGGCTACAATGGCACACATTTGAATTTATTTTGCTTCATTTCACATTCGCCTAGATGAGTAATCGGTTAGTTTTCACTTTGTCATTTCTAAACCTACATTTCTTCACAACGGTTTACCGGCTTATCGTGGGTAAGAGATGTTCTTGGGTGTCGGACTGCGATGAACAGCGGGGGATTTATTCTCTGCAAGGTTTCCCGAGCTTAGAAAGAGTCCTGTATTTCTATCAATAAACCCAACCATGAGTAAACCAATGCTAGAATCCATCACCGTCCTTGTACCAAACTAGTCACATGGTGGCAAATCTCACTATGATCCACAAGTGCTGCGACTGCTTGTGGTGGTAAAGACCCAGGGTAGACTTCGGCCAGGCTGACCTCGGGATTCCACGGAACCACATTGGCTTAACCAGCAAATATCCGAAAAAATAGACATTTTGCTGGAGCCCGCACAACCAGTGAGAAAGAGCCGCCCAAATATCAAGTAAGCAAGTAAAACGATATAATAAAGCACACGATAGATTTTTCGACTATATTTGTCAAGTTAGGTACTTTGCGGTAGTAGATGATTTGGAGTACGTGTTTGATTTTGACTACACGAAACGATTAAGTTACTTTATTAAATGATCGACATCAAAAACAAATGAAAGTTTGTTTATTGTTGAAGCATGCTTACAGACATGATAGAGTTTGAGGCATTTCTTCCCAACGACCGCATCAGATAAGTGTGCAATCACCACCTATGTAACCACGGCTACTCTTCAGGATGAGTTGCCGCGACAATGATCTCGCACAGACCGCCTCATTCAGTATGACTTATCCAGAATGAGATATCTGAAGGTTATCAACTCTGAGATAAGCGATGGAAAATGCACCAAAGTCATTTTTACTACTTTCATTAGTGTTTCAGAAACGGCTGTGCCATTTATCCGAAGCTACTCTATGATCCTCATTGTTACTGTTGCTCTAGTGGTAGGTGAACAAAGCGTTAAAATTATTTAGCCTTAAATTATGAGTTAAAAGGGCCAGTATGTATCTCTGTTTCTGTTGCAGTTTTTCATTGCGACGTGGATTTTAGGATGCACCAAGAAAAAAGGTACAACGTTGGAAAGGGTGAGTATTCCTCATATTGAAAAGATAACGAGGTGTATAAGGGCGATTCAATAAGACTCACTTTAGACAAATATGTTAGTAATTTTTAAAACTTTTCGTCCACTGGCGCGAACTTTCTTGTTCACGAGCACTACGGTGTTGTACGTGACAGGCCAAATGTAATCAATTGCGTGGCTAGGAGCAGAGAAAACAGATCGGCCTGATGGAATATTTCACTAATGTAGGAAACAGGGCTTAGCATCTAATTAAAATGTTTTCTTCCAGAAGAGTGGTAAATCACAAGGTAACTTGAAAAGAGACAACATCACTGCAAACAAGAAGCCATCAAAAGTGAAAGCACATCAATTTTCTCAGCATCTTCTTAACGTACCGTTGGCCCCAACACAACCAGAGGAGGATCCGGTAGTCGGCACATTTTCNTACTGTTGCTCTAGTGGTAGGTGAACAAAGCGTTAAAATTATTTAGCCTTAAATTATGAGTTAAAAGGGCCAGTATGTATCTCTGTTTCTGTTGCAGTTTTTCATTGCGACGTGGATTTTAGGATGCACCAAGAAAAAAGGTACAACGTTGGAAAGGGTGAGTATTCCTCATATTGAAAAGATAACGAGGTGTATAAGGGCGATTCAATAAGACTCACTTTAGACAAATATGTTAGTAATTTTTAAAACTTTTCGTCCACTGGCGCGAACTTTCTTGTTCACGAGCACTACGGTGTTGTACGTGACAGGCCAAATGTAATCAATTGCGTGGCTAGGAGCAGAGAAAACAGATCGGCCTGATGGAATATTTCACTAATGTAGGAAACAGGGCTTAGCATCTAATTAAAATGTTTTCTTCCAGAAGAGTGGTAAATCACAAGGTAACTTGAAAAGAGACAACATCACTGCAAACAAGAAGCCATCAAAAGTGAAAGCACATCAATTTTCTCAGCATCTTCTTAACGTACCGTTGGCCCCAACACAACCAGAGGAGGATCCGGTAGTCGGCACATTTTCGTTCTTTAAAAATTGTCACTGAGTAAAAGATAGGGCAGCGCAGTGGTTAGAGGCGCCTTGCAATGGAAACACGATGGTTGGTTCGAAAACACCGCAGGCTAATCAGCGCTCATTCCTCCAGATTGGCTGGTTGTTACCATACCATTCTGAGAAAACAAAATAAACGTTAACCCTGTTATGTAGGTTGGTTAGTGGAAAGAGAGCTTTGTAGATGTGATACGCATCCGGTCACATTCACTGTCCTGAGTGTGGTCGACAGGTCAAGGAGCATCCATAAATGACTGGTGAACCTATCATGTTTTCTCGTTTGATTTTTAAACCATTGCAGCAAGAGTGAGGTGAGGTGTTGGGTGTGACAAGAGACGAGCATCATAGTAGGGAAGCAGGAAAACGATCGTAACATCACGTCGGTTGGCGCTGAAGGAAGAAAAAGTTATTCACAGAATGCGACGTAAAGCTAAGCGAGTGGTGTAGACTAATACATGTTAGGTTCAATCCCCTTCCTCAGAATTACATACGAAACGTTAAGAAATGCCCACTTATATATGAAAATATTTAATATTTTGACATGGAAAGATTGAATATTCCTTACATATACCTATAACACACATAGCTACGCATAAAATTTCGTCGTCTGACGAGTTTTAGAAGGAGAGTAGCCGATTGTCGTTGTAGAGGACTTGGATTTCAAGGGCTAAAATTAACCTGAGTTGAAAAATAAGGCGAAACACATTGTTTTGGTGGTGTAAAGGTGGTTTTTTGTAGAAAAAGATTATGTCGAAAAAAGCTGTTGGAAAAAAGCAAGAAAAAGAGAAGAAAATCAAAGTTAACCAGGACGAGCAGCCTCTGCTCCCGTATCCTGACGTGAAGCGTCCAACAGTCACTCAACGCCGACGGCGAAAAGCCGAATTGGAAAAGGACAAGAAGGAAAAGGTTGCAAGCGGTTTTTATCAGGTAACAATGCAATATGAGCAAATCTATCCAACTGCATTTGCATAACGATGATTTGAATGAGAATATTGAGATCAGGTTCTTCTTTTTCAGTCGCATTCTGACCAAGACGACACTTTAGAACAAGTGGAGAGCTTGAAAAATGAACTCACTGAGCGGAGTCATAAGAGATCAGCGAAAGTGGAAAAGGCACAAAGCATCGTAGAAGTAAGCGCTAAGGAAGACGTCAATGATTTTTTCAAGGAAGCGGCTAAAGAAGTGAAGAATCCAATGCCTCCACCGAAGCAACAGGCATGAGGACACGTGTTGGTTGAGATCTTCTCAAAAAGCACGAGTCTTTAAGAAATGCGAAAAAGGCTTGAATTCTGAATAGTGTGCTCGATTTTGTAATTATGAAATAAATATGTGAAATAATGTTGCCGTTTTGAATAGGTTTTTGAAAAGATGGAAATTTTGAAAAAGGTCTAACGCTTCCCGTTTTGTGAAGGATCACACAGCCTAAAATTCCAATAGCTAGAAGCGCATCTGGTTATTTAGAATTTTAGAAAGATTTAAGTACAATTATTGGCTCAAGGTGATTTCCACTTAAATTCTAATTCAAACTCGTACTGGATTTTGGTGTGACGCTGAACACTTACATACTCTCCATCAGAAACCCTAACTAAAACTAAACCAACGCCAGCATCCATCCCCGTCCTAGTATCAAAGTCCTATGGTGGCAAATCTCTCTCTGAACCACAAGGGCTGCAACTGCCTATCGTGGTGACGACCTGAGGCAGACTTTGGCCAGGCTGTCGTCGGGGTTCCAAGGAACCACAGTGACCTAGCCAGCAAACCTCCGAAAAGTAGTGATTATGCTGGCACCCGTACAACTAGTGATGACGGGACGTTCAAATTGGACTCCTCGGCTTGGGAGACCCTGCCGGTGAGGAGGGGGAAATCATTCTGCTGTTCATCGTCGTCCGAAACATAGGAACACTTCCCAGCCACGATGAGGCGCTAAACCGTTGGGGGGGATGCTGAATAATGTTATTTAATTAGCAATGATTAAAAACTCGCTCTTGTTTAATAAGGCGTTCTCTTCTTCGTTACTTTATTGAAACGAATAAGTTTATTAAATGCTGATATTGTTAAAAAACGGAAGGCCACCAGCAAACGCTTTCTCGCTAACAAATGCGCTGTCGTATACACTGCATTTCGCAGTGTCCAACATATTAACGACTTTTGAAATTTCACTTTTGAGCAAGTGTATATCTAAATGTAATCGCGTCGGAATCAATAGTTTTGAAGGTGTAGTGGATTTAAGGTTCTGTCTTTACTTTCCGTAACTCGGAATGAGATTTCATGGGAAAGTTCAGCTTTGTCGGTACCGAGTTTTGACGGCGAGTAGTCGAAAGCAGATAATTGGATGAATTCAGCTTTTCGTGTCAAAGCAAAGGCTGAAATTTATCATAGTATTGGAAAAATATTAGGGTTTGCCTACAGAGAGTGTCTGTAGAAGCCAATATCTGGATACAGGGACTGGTATGGCAAGGAATTGGTTGAAAGGAATTGTACTTCAGAATCCGACTCTACTTTAAACTCCAAATGACTGATCAGTGTGTATCTTTTCATTGATGGACTGTTCATAGCGAAATAAAGTTTTTCTCTTGAACGTCATGCTAGTTCACTAGTGAAAAAATAAATGAAAGGTGTCCTATTCCGTTTGATATCTTCCTTCATTATAACAATCAAGACTATCCACTATACGAAATTTCAGCGAACATCACGTTGTAAAAGACATGAGCGACAGTTTAATGGGACCGAATATAAGGTGCCGAATACACCATTGCTAATCGGAATTTGAAGTTACCGATCTCGCTGTTCTCCTCAGCTCCTGTATGGCATGGTAATAGCGCCTTCCTTCGTTCATAATATTATTTTCATCTAAAGGTTGTAAAACTAGTGACACGATTTTGCAAAGGTATTCTAAATTTAGGTTTTTGCCACTTTGGCTTTTTTTGAGAATGCTTTGTTATGGAGAAAGCGACCAAAGAATAACGACCCATTTGCCCATACGGTGATGACCTTCATCACCTGTTTCTCCAGTCGCAACGTCTGTTGTTGACTGATTCAAGCGCTGCGCCAGTAAATATCCCACATAACTGTGACGCGTGCTAGAGTAGACCAGTGAATTCTGCACACTCTAAGGGCTTGTTGAGCGTCGTATCTTTCTTCTAAGCTTTTCGTGAAAAACTCTGACCATAGCGTCGGTGGTTTCCTTGCAGTGCGTTTGACATTCCGGTGAATCCAGTCACTAACTTCTCTTGTCCATCGGTTGTCATTCATACGCATAAACGTGTCCGGCCCACCTTTCCTTCGACTGTTTGGCGCACAAAACGGCATCTTTGATTTTTGATCGTTGACGCATATCGGACCTGCGGACCTCATCTCTTACTTGTGCAGAGCGGGATACTCCTAGCATCGTTTTTTCGAGTGCGCCTTCAATAACGCTGAGTGGCTTTTCATAGACAGCCTACGTAGCGACCAGGTTTCTGACGCATGTGTGAAGACGTGATAAATCGTAGAGTCGAAGAAGTGGGCATGGAGTCGGAGGTTCCTCGTTGTCTTCCCTTCATCCTCGATGCTCTTGATAGCTCCCCAAGCCGCATTCTTGATCCTGCTAAACTTTGGAGCTAAGTCCTTAATTACGTTGGTTTTCCGACTCATATCGAGGCAGCCGAATCATTCGGATATATTTATGTCGTCGAGAGTTTGTGGGACGCAAGAAACCAATTCGGTGCTTAAGAAAATCGCTTTTTTGAGATTCAGTCGGAGACTAGTATTTGCTCAGGCTTTGTGAAAGCCGCCCAGCATTCGTGCCGCTTTTCTAATGCTTCATTTTATAAGAACGATCTCATCAACGAAGCGAATATGGTATGAATGCAGACCACCGATTCTCATCTCCGTGTTCTCCCATTCCAATGTTCCTATGATGTTCTCGACTGTGGTGGTGAGTAGTTAGAAGGAGATGGTATTATCATGCTCAGGGACGCCTCAGCTGTTGTCCAATGCTTCCATGTTAACTTCTATTTCGACTAGGTCGAAAACTTTCTTTAAATCGGTGAAAGTGAAGCAGGGTTGTCTCTTGTACTCTCGCATTGCTTCAATGAGTCTTGTTATTGTCGGCGTGTGGTCCATTCTTCTGAGTCGTTTTCGAAACCGTTCTGGCTCACATTGATGCCCTTCACCCAGTGTTTCCTCAATCCTATTTAGGACGCCTCCAATGACGAGTTCGTAAACGACAGAAAGATAGTGGATATTGCGATACTTGCGGAAATCATAGAGGTCACCTTTAAACAATGACACGGATTTCCTTGCCTTCCATTGAATAGAAACATTGCAATCTGACAGGTAACGCGTAAAGTACCTAGATAGTGCGTTTGTAAGAACTAATAGAAGATTCTTTAGCTGTTCAAATCGTATTCTATACAGATTTGGTATTACTCGACTTTTCACCCACGACAAAGCATGTCGAGTTTCGGAAGGGAGAAGCGGTGGTACAACACATCCACCATACTTCGTTTAATACGAAAGCAAGTGGACGTGGCTATCGAAGAGATTGGAGTAGTTATCGCACATGGTTTTGCCCATTGCCTTCCCGGAAGTTCCATCTTGGCGTTAGAGTGCAACAATTTTGGTTTTGCAATTGGCAAAGCTTCGATGGGCTTTGATTATACTTTTTCCAACCTCTACAGCTTCGAGCATAATTGCTGCTTTTTCCTCCTTAAGACCTTCTTTGATCGTCTGTCTGCGTTGTTTGTTAGTTCGGGTGCGAGATAGAGGTTGAGGATGCCTGTAGCTCGGTTGATTATACGCTGGAGTATCGTCTCTTGTTCACTTTCGAGCGCTCGGTTTCCAAAGCGCCGAACTGAAGATATAGAGTGGGCCGGTCGTGTAGCAATTAGACAATGACCAGCTTCTACAGCAGCTCACAAATCTTTTCGTCTGCTCACAGATTTTGACTCTTTCCAAACACCACAACCTCATGAAGTTCGGCACTGTATATAAAGAGGAGGAATTGGCAGACCTGGTGATCGAGTTAGTGAGAAAGCGTTTGCTGGTGGCCTTCCGTTTTTTAACAATATCAGCATTTAATAAACTTATTCGTTTCAATAAAGTAACGA